GTGACGACAAATGGCAAAGACGGATCTGCAACTTTGAGGACAGGATATTCTATTAACGCGCGCTTTAGCTTCTTGAGCGCAGACGTATAGTCTTTGTCCCATTGCCAGATTGCCTCTTTCTTCAGCAACCTGCGCAAGGGAGCGGCGATAGTAGAGAAGTTCCTTACGAACTTCCTATAGTAGTTAGCTAAGCCTAGGAACGACCACAACTCTGTCAATGTGCGGGGCATCGGCCAATCTCTGATCGCCGCGATCTTGTTGTCCTCTGGCTTAATGCCATCTCCGTCCAACACGTGGCCCAAGTATAAGACTTGCGTCTTGGCCCACTCGCACTTCTTCGCGTTAATCTTGAAGTTAGCCTCTCTAAGCTTCTCCAAGACCTGCCTCAGATGACCCTGGTGCTTCTGGAGGGTCTTACTAAAGACTAGGATATCATCTAAGTAGACTACTACAAATTTATCTAACCATGGTCTAAACAGGTCATTCATACAACGCTGAAAAGTAGCTGGCGCGTTGGTTAGTCCAAAGGGCATCACTATAAACTCATAATGCCCATATCTAGTCCAGAACATAGTCTTGTATTGATCATCAGGATGAACCTCTATCTGATGGTATCCGGACTTTAAGTCTATCTTAGAGAAATACTTACAACCCTGCACCCGATCTAAAAGATCGTCTATCCTGGGCAGCGGCTCAACATTCTTCACGATGATCGCATTTAATCCCCTATAGTCTATACACATTCTCAGCTCTCCTTCCTTCTTGGGGACAAACAAAATGGGTGCTCCAAAAGGAGACGAACTGGGCCTGATCCACCCTTTCTCAAGGAGTTCGTCTAACTGCTTGCGAAACTCCTCTAACTGTCTAGGGGACATCCTGTAGACTGCACCCTTAGGTGTTCTACTGCCAGGCTCTATCTCTATCCTATGCTGGATGGATCGCGGCACTACTCCTGTCGGCGACTCAGTCAAATCTTTGAACTCCTCCAGCAGCTTGGCAATTGTTGGGTCTGTGAAGTTATCCTTCTTCTGGCCCTCAGTGACAGGTCTAACATACACCACAAAGACCTGTTCCTCTAACTTCTCCTTTCTTACTAATCGCGCGAACGCGGGAGCACTGAGACAGCAATGCGCCAAGGTGTTATCTACACCGGACGCATGGAACAAGCGAGCAGTCTTCACTTCGCCTGACCGACCAGGGAGCCTACACTCATGATCTCTCAGATGGAGTGTGGCCCCCGCTACCTCTCCCCAATCCATTCCTAACACTACATCGAAAGGAAGGTCATCTTGTACGAGGAGAGTTAGGGAATGGAGAACTTTCTCCACCTTCCCATCCTTCTCTAGGCGAAAGTACGCCTGGACTCCCTCTACATAGTCCTCAACGCGCATTGTGCGGTTGTCTGCGAGAACACTGACTATAGGGTCTATTAACTTTTGAACCTTTAGTCCTCGCCTCAGCTTCTTCAGCGCCCTACGGCTGATATAACTACAGGTAGCCCCTGAGTCTATAAGGGCCCCTACCCTACTCCTAAACACCTCTACATCTACCAAAATCAGTTGTCCTTTACTCTCCTTCTTCATTTTGGCCCTGGCTGGCATCCTCTCCTTTAATTCTTTTGCCACACCTGTGAGGGACGTGCCTAAAGAGACGCTTACACAGGCGGTCTCTCGACAACTATCTAGGCACGGGCCTGCAACCTCTGCCATAGGCTCATGTGGGTTGGGAGTGTCTTGTTCGCGCGCGCTCACTTCTCCACATGGCCT